TGAAATAAGCTTAAATTTAAGAAAAGGAATTTATTGGTGCATATAGCTGAAAGGGGCAAATCTAGCTTCACATGCAAAGGACTAAAATCTTGAGGTTTAAATGATGCCAGTGTTTTCCATCTGGTGTCTGCTCAGCTCTGCCTCCCTCTTTAGTTTAGCTACATTTTTTCCCCCCCATCACATATGACCTTTCTAGGGCTAAGAGAGAGATTTTCAAATAGGGCAATTCCACACTCCTCCATCTGTCTGGAGGAGTCCATCCTATCTCTTTCAGGGTCTGTATTAAATTTTAAGGTAGACTCTAGATGAGTTTAAGCTATGTCTATTCATAAACCAATCACATGGTCCAGAAAACGGCAGACTCTTTGTGGTCATTCCGGTTCTAGTGGGAGATGAGCACAACTGCGCCCAAACCCTGTGGAAAGGGAGAGCAGAGGATGCCTAGAAGGCAGCAAAGAGCTGTTACCAGAAAAAGGGAGAGTGGATGCGTGATGGGCAAAACTGCATCCATTCCCTATACCAAAACCAGGGAGTGGACACACGTGACGTGCCCAGGACACACATATTCTGTGTGCTAGATTATTCCTAACCTGCAGAAGGATGACTCCAAAGATGTCTGATGAGTCCATAAGACATCCTAGAGTTTCTTGCTGTGGCACTGTCTCTACCCGCTACACCCATGTCCACTAGGATCCACTTCACTTGTCACTTTAGTGTTGCCTAGAAGACCAGAAAGCAGTTAGCTTGACTGTAACACATGTAGTAGGCGAAGTGCATCGAAGGTCATCCAAGAAAAGAATCTTCAGATCTCTGGTGAGATGTCTTCTGCCATAGAGGCCCAGTGACTGTTCCTGTTGTTGGTAGAAAATGTTATAATCTACTCACATATAAGGGGAGAAAATATTTGCTAATCATATATCTGATAAGGGGCTCATATCCAGAATATATAAAGAACTCCTGCAACATCATTGTGGCAATAGATTAGCTTTTCTCCTTTTCATCTAGAAGAGGATAGCTTTGGACCATCCTTGGAATAATGGCGATAAGAGTTACTCAAATCATTTTCTATAGGGCGTAGCCCTCTTACAGGAACCTCCACTGAGATAGGCTACTAGAGTGTGGTTTTCTCTGAATTGAATTATTATTATAATTACCAGTAGTACATAATTTATTAAAATGTAAATATATTACACATTTAATAATTAATTATTTTTTAAATAATTATTAAACATAAATGTAAGATATTGGAAATGAATTTTCTGGAGATAAAATGAGGGCCACATTTATGGAACTCTGATGAAAGGAATGACCAAATCCCCTTGGTCTGGCTTCTGGGTCATCTCTCTCCTCCGGGCAATGCCTTTTAGAGAGGTGTGGGATGTGTAAGAGGAATTCTTTCTTTTGGAAAGTGGAAGAAAGGCAATTATAAAGACACCTTTCAAGAAAATCAATTTTGGGGAGGAGGCGATATGATCGATCTTTGAGGTTCTGAATCTTGAAACTGGTGCCTGAAAATTCTCCATGCCTGTCTCTGTGTCCTGGAAAGGCCTTGAGCACTGATATGACCACACACTACAGTGTATACCTGTTGTCCTGGTGTAATTGGTCTCCCCTGTCACTCTTGGAGAATCTCAGTTTGGATGGTATTACTGGTCAAGTGCCCCTTCTGGTGGGTTCCCCAAGGGAACACATATCCAGATTTGAAGACCATACTTGTAAACCAAGAAATGTCTGATTTATTTCCTTTTTTTTCCTGTTAAATTTTAAAAAGTATTTATTGTATACCTAGTATGTGCCACACACTGTAAGTTACTTTGGCATAGCTTATCTCATTTTATCAGCAGAATGATCAGGGGAGGTGTTTTTATTATACCCTCTTGTTTTAGCCGAGAAGAAAACTGAAAACCCAAAGAGTATAACCGACCAGTCATGACTAGAAAGTGGCTAAACCAGAACCCAAGCCCGGGTCTCCCTGTTTCTAAGGCCTATGCTTGCAATCAAATCCGGCCCCTCATGTCCTGGGTGGGCACTGCCTTGTGTTGGTTCCATTCCCTGAGGCATGAGGTCCCGCCTCCTGCAACTAGGGTTTGCCTTGGGCCTGCTCACTGCCAGGCTGCTCTTTTGCCCAAATCTCCACATGAAACACCTCCTGCCAGGCTTCCTTTCACGTTGTCTGCACTTTCTCTACATCTCTATCCTCGTTCTGTTCACCAGCATCTCCTCTCTGGTGGCTGCACGGTGCCCAATCCATTGGACAAAGGCAGCTGGAGCAAAGCCAGTCAGCCCCGTGTTTCCCACAGAATAAAGTCTGAACCTCTTTTCAAGAGTTACAAGGCTCTTCTTTACAAGTGTGCACATCAGTGCTATCCAACTTTCTGTTCTTTCTCCAACCCCCACCCGCCTGGCCAATTGTTTGTCCCACGCACGTCGCCTCCTCCCTAATCTGCCTTTGATTCATACTTCATATCTCAGCTGAGACCTCCGGGCTGCTTGCCTGGGCTCTGTGTGCCACCTTCTGCCCTCCCAGTGGCGTGCTGGAGCCAGCTGGTCCAGGCTCTCAAAGCCGGTGGCGCACAGTGCTTTCCAGCTCCAGCAATGCGTGCCTTTGTGTTGGCATCTCAAAACTGGCCACAGGGTGAGTCTTTACATCACAGACATTGGCAAATGGTACAAACCAGGGCTTTGAAAAACCCTCAAACTGGTTGGTAAATATATACCAGCACCACACTGTGCCCCTCCTATATTTTCATAACACCGTGTACACCATTTATTTCTTTGTTCATTCAGTGAATGTTTCCTCACTCACTGCCTTCTACATGTCAGATACTGTTTAGTGCTGAGGGCATAAAGGGGGGCAAATACAGTCCCTGCCGTCATGGAGCTTACAGTGCTGAAAGGGGAGACTTGCCTTATTCAAATATTCACGTAAATAAAAAGCAAAATGATAATTATGTTAAGAACTAAAAACCCTTTTCATAGGATATGGACTCTAGTCTAGGAAGGTCTTCCTCAGCTAAAATCTGAAGGATAATTTGAGATTGAGGAAGGAACAAGGTGAGGGAACAGCATTGTAGGCCAAGGGAACGACATGTGCTGTGCTCAGAGGGAGCATGGCTCTCCAGAGCAAGGGAAAGAAGGCAGGAGTGTGCAGGAGGGAGCCAGGAAGCTTGGGAGATGCAGCTGCAGAGTTAAGGCCACATGGAGTTTCGTAGGCCTTCGTAAGCAGTTTCACCGTTAGCCTCGGAGCAGTGGGAAATGACTGTCTTCAGCAGGAGGAACACCTGGGGGAGTGGGAAATCAGCACTGCGAGGTGATTCAGTGCGGTGGCTGGTGGAGATGAGCTGCTGGGCAATCAGATGAGCCTCCTCTCTCCTGGGGCACTTCCTGTAATGAATGCACAAGCTAAAGAGAAATGGCTCTTGCTGACCTCTCGGCCCGGTTCCTCTCCTTCGCCTTTCATCTTCGCCGTCTAACTACTCTGCGTCCTAACTACCCTGCAGGATGGGAAAGTAACGGTGCAATGACCGCTTCCCTGGGCGGGCGTTGGGCAGCTCACAAGGCGTGGGCTCCAGGCACCATTCGCCAGGCTCAGCGCCACCAAAACCTTCTCGGGTGCCTTTCAGCTTCCCAGCCCCCGCTTCCCTGCCTGCACCGCTGCTCCGTGCAGCACAAAGCCCCGCTGCCCAGGCCTCCCCGACCTGCGGCCGCAGCACCGCGCGCAGGAGCCCTGGCACCGCAGGGTCTGAGAGCCACGCGCGTCCCCTTCGCCCTCTCCCTCCCTCACAAACACGCACACACAGGGAAGGCAAGGCAACGGGGCTCAGGACCCAAGGTGAGGCGCCTTGGGGCCCCCCCGGGTCCTCCCTTCAGTTCTCTCATCCCAAGCTGTGCCCCGCCCCCGGGCTGGGCTAGAGGTGCCGCCCGGCATCTCGTCCCGGCCGCTGCCAGCCTCAGCTGGGCCCCCGGGGCCGCCTTCC